GAGAGGAGAGGAGAGAGACGAGTTAGAGATGAGACAGAGAAATATCAGTCAGTTGCCTCCCATGTTTGTCCAACGGACTGGGAATTGAACCTGCAACCTATGTATGAGTCCTGACCAGATATCGAACTCATAACCTTTTGGTTTATGGGACGATGTTCAAATCAACTGAGCCACCCAGCCAGGACTGTATGATCCTTTTAATTCGCTGCTGAATTTGGTTTTCTAGTATTTGGTTGAGGATTTCACATCAGTGTTTAAAAGAAATATTGGTCTGTAATTTTCTTATAGTGTCTTTGGTATCAGGGTAATGCTAGCCTCACAGAATGAGTTAAAAAGTTTTCCTTCCTCTTCAATTTTTTTTTAGAAAAGTTTGAGATGGATTGGTGATAGTTCTTTAAATGTTTGATAGAATTCACCAGTGGAGCAATGGGTCTTTTTCTTGCTAGGAGACTTTTGGTTACTGATTCAATCTCTTTACTAGGTATATATAGTTCTATTCAAATTTTCTATTTCTTGGTAAGTTTTGTGTTTCTAGCAATTTTCCCAATTCATCTAAGTTATCCAATTTGTTGGTGTGCAATTGTTCACAATAATCATATAATCCTTTTTATGAGTAAAAATGTCCCCACTTCTTTTCTAATTTTAGCAATTTGAGTTTTCCCTCTTTTTTCTTAGACCATCGAGCTAAAAGTTTGTCTATATTTTCAAAGAACCAACTTTTGGTTTCATTGACGTTCTCTATTGTTTTTCTATTTTCTATTTCATTTATCCGTGCTACAATCTGTATTATTTCTTTCCTTTTGCTAGCTTTGAGTTTAGTTTGTTTTTTCCTAGTACCTTAAGTTGTAGATTAGGTTGTTTCTTTGAGATCTCTCTTGTTTCTTCATGTAAGCATTTATAGCTATAAATAAAATTTTAAAAAGTCAAATTACATAACAGGATGAAAGGCAAAGCTTTCCTATGTTCATTTCCCTAATCCCACACCCCAGAATTAGTCAGTACTACCTATCTAGCTATTTATCAAACTAACATTATACGTTCTTACTATGTGCTCTGGTCTATGAATTTATTTTATTATTTTAATCCTTATAACAATACTACAAAGTAGATACTATTATTATTCTCAATTTACTGATGAAAAACTGAAGCCGAGAGATGTGAAGGTAACACCACTGTGTGGCTTAGCATGCTGAAGGTGACACAACAGGGCAAAGCCAGCATTTGAGCCCACCCAGACAGTCTACTCTTGCTTATATATAAAAAACAAATAGGGTTAAATTAATTAGTAATAACATTAATCCAAACAAAGCAGATTCTATTACTCCCCTGCTTCAGACCTTCTAATTCAATTTGAATAAAGTTCTAAGTCCTTTCCATTGCCTGTTTGACTTCATATGAACTGGCCTGGCCTTCTTCCCTGATCTGATCTTGTACCACTTACCCCTGGGTCCCTATGTCCCAGCTACACTGGTCTTTCTCTTCCTTGAGCTTATCAACTTAATTCCTGTTTCATGCCCTGCTTTGTTTGCTGTTGGTTCTGCTTGGAATGAGCTCTCAGAGATCTTCATACAGTTGTCTCCTTCACATATTCCAAGTCCCAGCTCAGATGTCGCCTTACACAGGCCCTTCCCTCACCAATTGTAGAAGAGATCCCCTTCCATCTCAAGTCATCTCTAACCCATTACCCCATTTTTCTTCACAGCCTTTAGCACTGTCTAAAAATGACCTCATTTCTTCATTTATTGAATTGTTTATTATCTCTTCTCTCACATTAGACATAAGGCACAGGAGGCCAGGAGCTTTATGTGTCTTATTCTCCAAGGTCTCACCCAATGCCTTAAACAGTTCCTATCACGCAGTAGATATTCAAATGTTAGACTCTGCTTCAGAAATCCTCTTAAACTTTGTTAGCATCATCAACTTAAAATATATTTTAAATTTCTATAATTATCAGAGTAATTATAGAAATTTATATTGGAACTTTCAAAATAATATACAGAAAAGATGTCCTTAAAAATCATGTAATATTCCCCTGCCCAAGGGTAACCAGTGTTGGTGTTTGTTACAGTTTCTTCCAGCCTAATAGTATTCTACTGCTCTAATTTATATTTCCTTGATGATAAGTGAGGTAGAAAATGTTTTTCATTATGTTTATCAGTTAGTCATAGTTCTTCTTTCGTGACTTAGCGCATCCTGTCCTTTGCCTATGCCTGCGGCTTAATTGTTCATGCAGGTATGAGCTCAAATGTTAGAAAAGTCTCCCTGATCACCTCCTCTAAAGCACATCCCCATCCCCTGCATTCTCCATCAGTTTGCCCTGTGTATGTCCTTATAAAACACTAGAGGCCTGGTGCATGAAATTCATGCACGGGTAGGGTCCCCAGGCCTGGCCGGCCATCAGAGCCGATTGGGGCCAGCTGCCAGCTGGGGCCTTCCTTCCCCTGTCTGCCAGTTGCTGGCTGGGGCCTTCCTTTGTTCTGTGTCGACCCCTGGTGGTCAGCGCATGTCATAGTGAGCGGTTGAACTCCCGGTCAGTCGAACTCCAGAAGGGACAATTCGCACATTAGCCTTTTATTATATAGGATACCACATCCTGTAATTATCTATTTATCTATCCACTGTTTATACTCCCCACCCCTCTGGGATTATATAAGATCCATAAAGGAAGTAATCCTACTTATCTTAACCACCGTTGTAGTCCTAGTAACCAAAACAGTGCCTGGAATATACTGGGAATAGGGGATTAACAAACATCTGTGGGATGAGTGAATCAAAGCATAGAAAATCGGAATATATAAAATGTCATAAAAATAAACTGCCCTAAAGCTCTGGTTCAATCATTCTTTTAATAACTCTTTAGTTTAAGGCAAAATTAGAGTGTGCCACCTGTAATGTTTATTCACAATGTCCATACCTGATTGTTGGGCTTGGTAGATAAGCATTTTCCAAAGTAAAGAGTTTCTGTAACACAAAGGCTGTTACATGCGGGCCCATCAATAACTCCATTCTTGTACTTGTCGCACTAAACACAGGAAATAAAAAAGTAGTTAATAGAAAAATGTTCACAAGAAGAAACATAATAAATACAACATAAAGAGATATCTATATTCTTTAAGAGAAGGCTCCTCAATAAAAATAACTCGGTATTGGATTTGAATCCATGCTCTGTTCCTTATTAGCTCTATGATGCTGAGAGACCTTGTTGCGACGAAGGTGTGCATAGAATTTTGAAACTATTTTTCCCACTTAACATGGTCTGAGGTGGTATGGTACCTACTCTCTCCAAGAATAGGGGCACTCTATTTTTCAAAACAGCTCTCTGGTTTTAAAATAAATTTAAAATAAAGTTTAAATTACCAAAATGTTTTAAAATAACAAAATAAAGTTACCTCTGTCGTCCCTGACATCATCCAAAAATAAGAAATAAATTTGGGGTGGTGAACATACAATACAGTGTACAGATGATGTGTTCTAGAATTGAGCACCTGAAACCTGTAGAATTCTGTTAACTGGTGTCCCCCAATCAATTCAGTAAAAAGGGGAAAAAGGAATAAAATTTTAAAAAGAAATGCAAGCTCTATCTTTGATAAAATAGGGTACCAATGTAACCCTAAGACATAATAGTGAGAATGGCCTGCCAAATTCAGTGAAAATTACACCAGAGTCCACAAGGATGCTGAGATTAAATACCTGCTCTGACCTCAATTCTCAGACAAAGCTGGCAAAACACTGCACAGGAGGTACATCTGAGGAGAAGAACCAACCATCTCCCTGGCTGCACTGAAGGCTTAAGGGACACAGCTGTGGGAACTTCCAAGGACTCTATCTGGCATCATGAAGTACAGGGCAAGGCAGTGCTGAATGATAAAACCCTTTAAGATGTTGTCTATGTGGGAGGTAGTCTGTTAATGAAACGGGTTGGAAAACACTATATCATGAGCAGCTTGTAATTGCCAGGGAGATATACAGGCTTAACCAATCTGTGTGAGTGTCTCTGTCTCACCTTTGTTTTTTTGTACGCGTGCGCGCGCGCACACACACACACACACACACACTGTCTCACCTTTGTTTTTTTGTATGCGTGCGCGCGCGTGCGTGCACGCTTGCACACACACACACACACACACACACACACACACACACTAACTCTCTGGGCACAGCAGCTTCACTACAGGCTCAGTTCACTGCCCCAGTTGCTTCCTATAAATACTCAGTAGTGAGTAACAATAAAAAAAAACACAACAACAAATATGAGGTTTGTATAGCAAACATACAAGAAAAAGGAGTAAAGAATAGGAAAAGCAAGTGTCAGATAAAGAAAATTTCCAGAAAAATGTCATGAAGCAGAACAAACATTGCTGTGAATTCAAAGGACTTAATGAAAAGGTTTGAAATAAGACCTCAACAGATAGTAAGTGCTCAGTAATAGCAATAGTTATTTTACATTTTTTCAAGTAAAAGGCATCAAATGCTTTTAAACACATAAGGATCAGAAAATATAACATCCAATAGCATCTCTTGAACCATTAGAGAATGAATTTCAGGCAACCAAGAGATCAATGGAGAAACTAAACATGAAAGCCAGTTGAAATGTTGGACTGGGATTAAAATACTCTGGGAATCTATTTCTTGATAATTGTTTATACAATATCTGATAGTTAATAGATGCTTACTATGTGTCAGGCACTGTTCTAGTGCTATACTTTTATTATCATGACAACAACCCTATTATATCCATTGAACCTGTTTTATATCTATGGTAAAAATAAGGAAACAGAAATATCTGTTAAGTAACTTGCTCAAGGTCACACAGCTCATTCTCTTTAGCACTACTGTATATTGTTCAGAATGTTGATATTATAAACTACTAGAGGCACGGTGCACAAAATTCGTGCACGGGTGGGGTCCCTAGGCCTGGCTGGTGATCAGGGCCGACTGGGGCCAGGCTGATCAGGGCCAGGCCGGAGAGGAGGCAATGGTCTCTGGGCCGGGCACTAAAGGAACGGGTGCCGGACGCCGATGCTGCCATCGTCAGCGCCCCACCACGGTGTGGTTCCCCGCCTCCCCTCCTCCTCCTTCCTTCGCTGCCCTGCCGCCACTGCAGCAGGTGGACAGCAGGCTGATCAGGGCCTGCCGGCCGGGGAGAAGAAGAGAGGGACAGGGCATGGGAGGTTGGCTGCTGGCTCTGAGGAGGGAACCGGCCCTCGGCCCCCCTGGGAAAGGGGCCGCGTCCGCCACCTTACCCCCCCTCCTGCCCCCCGCCCAGTTCCCCATCCCAGCCCAGGACCCAAAGGCCCCAGCGGGGTCAGGAGAGGAGGCAATGGTCACCAGGCCGGGGTGCAGAAGGTACGGATGCCGGATGCTGCCACTGCTATCATCAACGCTCCACCACCGCATGGTTCCCTGCCTTCCCCCCTCCTCCTTCCCTCGCTGCTGCGCCACCACCACGGCGGGCGGGCGGTGGGCCAATCAGGGCTTGCCAGCTGGGGGGAGGGATGGGGCACAGAAGGCTGGCTGC